TCAATGAACCTAAAAATATTTATTAATGTTATTTATTGACATTCATTTTTTTTTTTTGAAAATTAGCATTTTGCTTGCTTCATTTTTGAATGAAATCAAGAAATCGAATTATTTCTCGTCCATTTCAAATTTGATTTAAGTGCATTACAATATTACTTTTTTCCCCTCTTCTTCCACATAAACAACAAATAATTTTATTTTAATTTTTGCAGAAGCCAAAAAAAAAATGGAAAAATAACTGAAAAAAAATAAAAAATAAAAAAATAAAAATAAAAAATGCAAAATGAAAAAGACAAACAAACAAACAATTCGATTAATTATTAATTAATCTTAAAACTTTTCCTTTCTTTTTTTTGAATCTAAACAGTCGATAATTATAATTAATAATATGTCGTTATTGTTCGTTTTATCTAAGCAATTTCGTAATCTTTTTTTCTGTTAAAATAATGTAATTAATTTGAATCGATTACTGGTATAACTAATTTGGGTTGATTGCCGGTATAATTAACTTGAACTGATTACTAGTATCTAATCTAATTTGATTACCTAATTTGAATTGATTCAACAAAAAAAGAATTCATTTCAATGTTTTTTTTCTTTTTTTTATAGAAAATTTGCGCATTTTATGAAAGGAAAAATTTGTTATTTTTCGTTTTGCTTTTTTTTTATGCACAAATGACATTTCCATCGTTCATTTCGTTCTTTTTTCTTTTTCAACAAAGGAAAAAAGCAATTTTTATTTTTGCATTTTACTAAATTACCTCTTTTTATTTCCCTTTTTTTCTTCATTCATCATATTGATTCATTTAAATGAAGCGTAAAATTACACACTTCAAATTTTCTTTCTTTCTTTCTTCCCTTTTTTAAGTGCTTCAAAAAATATGCATCATCCAACAAATATAGTTAATATTGTGTTGATAAGAAAATATGCAAATTATTCATTCATATTTTTAATGATTTTAAAATAAGAAATAAAAAAAGTAAACAAAATACTAGCGAGTTTTCGTTTTTTTTTGTTTTTTAAATTTTTCACATTGTAAAAGTTATTTGGTAACAAATATTTGTAAAATGTAATAAGTAAGTTCAAATTTAAATAAAAGGAAAAAATGAATTTTATAATTTAACAAAAAAAGCTTACCAAGTTTTTTTTTATCTTCTGTACAACATTGCTATTATTGTTGAAATAGTTCATTTTTAGCTTACCAGTAACTTTCTGGGTACCATTATTGATGGACAATCTTAAACAGTAAGGTTAAAAGAGTTTGAAATAGTTGTATGGCTTATTCATCAATACAATAAGACTATTTGTTAATGCAATAAGGCTATTTGTAAAAGCAACAAGGGCTATTTATTAAAACAACAAGGCTTCAATAGTTTGAAATATATGGCAAAACGATTATAATTTTCATTCGATAAATGAAAAAGCATCATCATAAATGTTATCAAATAATTTTTAGCTAAATATTTTTGCGTATTATGTGTTAGATAATAATACTACGTGATATTACGTGGTATATTACGTGATATTACGTAATAAGTTAGAAATTATTCAATAAATGATGCGACTAATAACATTCTCGTCGTGTAAACAAGGTTGAAATAAGGAAACACTATGCTAAATAATTTATTTTAAAAAGAATCTATTCTGTAGTTTTTAAATTGTGAACATAATTGATACCTTATCATTTCTATAAACTTTTTTCATTCTTCTTTTTTTTTTGCTCCGAGCTTAAATTTCCATAATTATTTCGTGCGGTTAATTAACTAATTAATTAAAGTATTCCATAACATAAATAACAGAGGAATAGTACAAATCAAAAAATTTGGCAAAAAATTAATAGAAAACTTTGGAAAGGGAAAAAATCAGAAAAGTGAACTGACAAATAAATAGATAAATAAAAATATGAATATAAATATAAATATAAATGTGAATATGAATATGAATATAAATATAAATATGAGTATAAATATAAATATAAA